AGTCCTTATGTTAGTGTTAAATGTTGAAAGTGGAGAATCCTGGCAGTGCTGTGATCCCACCACAGAAGAAACATATTAATGACACACCCTCTCCTTACCCCTCACCCGTGAGGAGAACACAAGGTGAACACCTGCGGGGAGCGCACTGTGACACCACAGGGAGAGTCAACAGTCCAGCCGCATCCAAAATGTGGACTCGTCTTGCCTTCACACTGCTGAGTGACATCCCACACAGAAACAACATGATTAATTTAAATATTAAACATCACACAAAGTTAAAATCACATGTTCATGATACAGACACCCCCCCCCCCCCGCCACACCCGGGCACCCGCCCTGCCCTCCAGCTGCTGGGCCTGGGGCGGGAGGGGGCTCAGCCCCGAAAGCTTACAACGTGTGCCCCAAACGCCCCCTTAACCCTGCGGGAGTGAAAACGGCCCGCGGGACAGAGGGGAGCCCGCCCCGGGGGCGCCCTCTGGGTCCCGAGGAGCCGGAGCGAGCCCGCGGCCGCGCGGTTCACGCTCAGGGACGGGCCCGCCCGTGCGCTCCTCCCGGCCCAACATAAGCCCCGGAGCCCCCGCGTCCAGCCCTTCCCCGCCGGCCCGAGTTCCCTGCGCGTGGCCCCGTCCCCGCCTCGCCAGCCCCACCGCGGCCCGGCCAGAGAGTCCACGGCCCCGAGAAGGACGCAGCATCCCCGCCCGCTCCGCTCTCCTCGCCGGACGCGGTGAGCGCGGCCGGGAAGCGCCTCCGCTCCCGCCGCGGGCCCCCGCCGCCTCCTGAGTCTCCGGGTGCGGGACCCCGCGCGCTGCCCGAGAGGGGAGAGGGGCGCGCTGGGGGGCCCTGTCGGCCTTGGGGAGCCACCGGTGAGCGGAGAGGATGGGGAGAAGGGGGGACGCGGAGGGCGGTTGGGGAGGCCCCTCCCGGCAGCCTGTCTCGCGTCTCCTGCTCCAGCCGCACATCCGGCGCCGGTTCCTTCCGTGTGGGGCCCCACAGAGGCGGGGTTCAGGCTCCCCCCCAGGGCAGGAAGTGAGTCCAAGGGGTCACCTGCACCTGTGGCCCCGGTCTCGGGGGGGGGGGTCGCGGCCCTTTCGCGCCCACGGAGCCGCGTCCGGGGAGAGCGTCCTGCCCAGCGCGGCCCTCGGCGTCCAGGACCCCGCTCCAGGGCGGGGCTCCGGGGAGGGGCTCCCCTGCTTTCCGGGCTCGGGGGCCTCGAGCCTCCCAGCCCCGACTATTGGCCCCGGAAAACTGAGCTGAGGGCACGGCTGCACCTTCGTCCCCGACGCAGCGCCCGCCCGGCCGAGGAGCCTGACCCGCCCGCCTCTGGTGCCTCCGCGCCCCAACATGACCTGGTGACTGTGCCGAGAGCCCGCGCGCGCCCGCGGACCTTCCCTGCACCCCTCGCCCCTCCTGCCCGGCCTCCTGAGCCTGGGGGGTCCCGCGCACTTGCTCAGGCTCCGGTCCCACTAGTGGACTCGGTCTGGGCGGCGGCGGCGGCTGCGCTCGTGTCCGTCAGTCCGTCTCGAGGGCGACCCCGGCCCGCCGGTGGCCTCGTCCCGTCAGTGGAGGCCCGCGGGGACCCTGGGGCTCGCCGGGGAAGAAGCTTCTCGGCACAGACGCCGCGCTCCCCGCGTGGGCCAGTCCCTGAAGGCGCCGCCCCGTCCCCAGGACAGACCCCGCGGCGGGCGCGGGAAGGAGGGGGCGGCGGGGCGAGAGCTCGCTGCGCATCGAGACGGTTCCCGGGCACCCCTGGGCGCTTCTTCCCCCGGAGACCCCCGGCGCCCCCCTATTCTGCCCCCTCGGGGTCCCGCTGGCGGCGAGCCAAGCGTGCGGGGCTGCAGGCGTCGGGGCGCGGGCGGGTCTGTCATCGTCACCCGTGCTCGAACTGGGGAGCCCCCGACGTTTGCGGGGAAATCGCTCGTCCCAGCGGTGGGGAATCGGCCAAGCCCGCGAGGTGACCGGCGAGGGCTGGACGCGCAGCTGGGGCGCGCGAGAGCCGCGTCTGTCGGGCGGAGGGCGCCGAGGGCCGCTGTGTGACTCGGGGTCGGCGCCTCCGCCTCTCTGGTCCTCGCGCGGGCCCCGCCCCAGGCCCCGCCCCCGCGGACACGCCCCGCTCCCGGCCCGCCTCGGGCTTCTGGGAGTGGTAGTCTCGGCGGGCGCGGCGCCTTCTTGGATGTTGTAGTTCCCGGGCAAGGGCGCCTCCTGGATGCGTCGCCCCCCACCCCCCGGCCACGCGCCGGGACTGGGGTCTCCGGGCCGAGGAGAAGCGGCCCGAACTCGCCGCGCCCGCGGAGGCCGTCCCTATCCCGCGGCGCGGGACCCGGACGGGGAGGGCGCGGCTGCGCGAGTGCGCGTCTGTTCCCTCGGGGTGCAGAGGCGGGGCGACCCCCAAGCCAGCCCCTTCCTCCCCTCCCCCGCCCGCCCGCCCGTCCGTCAGTCCTCTCCCCGACGCCCGCTGCTTCCCCCGGGAGGAGAGGGGTGCAGCAGGAGGGCGCGGGAGCCCCCAGTACGGGGGGGGCCCACACCGGCCCGCGCCCGCAGCGCCCGGGGCCCTGCGCGATCTGACCCTCGCCCGCGTGGCCGCCGCTACCCGGCGCCGCCCTGCCCGGGCCTGGGCCCCGCTCCCCGCTCCCCTCGCCGCCCCGCCCCGCCCCGCCCCGGCCAGGGCCCCGCCTCCCTGCGCGCGCCCCCGCTCCGCCAGCTCCCCACGAAGCTGCAGCTCCCGGGACGAAGGGCACCGGCTCGGGTTTCCCTTTTCTGCCCTGCAGGTCCGGAACCGAGACTGCGGCGGAGCCGCCGGGAGCGGGACGGGACGCACGGGCTGCGGCCCCGAGGCGGAGCGACTGGCCGCGCCGCCACCTCCCGCGGGCTGGAGGGTGAAGACAGCGCGGCGGCGGAGTCGGGAAGCCCTGGAGGCGCGGGGGGCGGGGGGGTCGGCCCTCCAGGCTCAGCGGCACCACACACCGAAGGACCCCCCCCTTCCAGAAGCCGCCGCCTTCGGGGCGCCCCGCTGCCCGCAGCACCGGTGGCCCACTGGGCGCAGGTCCGCCGCGGCCTCCCTCGGAGCCATAATCACAGCAGGACCCCAACATCATCTCACCGGTCACAGCCCCGTGCTGCGCAACTTGTGCAGTCTAAAAATAACCAGCCACCCCTCCCCCAGGCACCGAGCTCCCACCAGGTGCTAAGTCCCCCTCAGAGGCACCGAGTCCCCCCAGAGTCCTCCCAGGGCCCCCCCAGGCACCATGTCTGTGGTCCCCTGGCCGCCTCTGCCCTATTTCCCGGTAAGTCCGGGTAAGCGAGGGTTCGTGTGAATATTGGCTCATTTGCCTGAATGTGCCCCCCCAGGGGCGGCCCCTGGGGATCCCATTCATTCTCTGACACCCTACACATGGGGCACCCCGAGGTGCCCACAGTCTGGGCACAACGTCCACTGACGAACTGCCCTGTGTCTAGGACAACAGGTCTACACAAAAATCCCACGTTTAAAAAAACGAGATTTTCCAATTATACTGAAAAGTGTAAAGTGTGGTGCATTCCCTAATCCAACATCTTTGAAATTTAAAACATTACCAAGAAAAACAAGAGTTTACTAGGCTTTATAACAGATAAATGATTTTAAAATAGGTCATGGAAATGTCTGTTTCCAAATTTATTTTGAAATAAATTATAAGATCTGACCTCGCTTCGGTGGTAAATACCTTTGCTTGCGTGTCTAACCAAAATCATCTCCTAAACAACCGCAACGTCATCCCAACAGAATGAATCTCTTCTTATCCCTGTACAATCCATATTCAGGTTCCCTTGTTCCACCCCTAAAAGTTTGGAAAACATGATTTATTTGAAAATAAGTTAAGCACCAGGGATCTGCGGGTGTATATCTGGAGGAGGAGAGTCCAGACCCGGGAGGCCACTCAGCTCAGCTCAGCTCAGCCAAGGAACCAGGGACTGTTGGACTTTTTGCTTCCGTTCTAACATCACCTGCACTGGCCCTGGCACACAGTAGGTCCTCAGAAAACATCAGGGGAAATGAGTAAGTGGGGGAAGCCCTGGCCTGGCCCTGGTGCCCAGGGCCTGAATCTCCCCTGTACTCTGGATGTCACCCGGGCTTCAGCACACAGTGGGCCCTCAGGAAGAATAAGTCCTGGGGTGAAAGGATGCAGGTGAGCATCCACAGCACTAGCCCTGGGGGCCCTCCAAGTCAGAAGGCAAGCGTCCCGGTTCTTTCCTGCGCCCGGCCATTGGCACACAGTAGCCGGCTGGGAGGGCCCCAAGGAGCCGCCCCGCCGGGGAGCCTCCCCAGGACCGTGCGCGCAGCTGCGAGGCTCGGCGTCAGAGGAGGGTCCTGGTACCCCCAGCTGAGCCGAGCCTTGAGGACACCGGCGGGCGCGGAGGGCGGCCCTGTCCCCAGAGGCGCGCGCGCAAAGGTGGCCGCGCAGGCGGAGCGACCCCAGGGGAGGGCCCGAGGCCACCGCCGGCGGCCGCCCAGCAAGAAGCCTGACCTCGGGGCCGCCCCCAGCCCCCAGGCGGGCGCCAGACACCCGCTCCCCAATTCCTGCCGACCGGGAAGGGACTCCCCGCCGCCTCCGCCCCCGCTTCCCAGGTCCGAGGCCATTGGGTCGTGTCCTGCGTCCTCGCGTGGCTCGTGCTGGTGCGCGCCGACCCCACCGCCTCGCCTCGGCCGCCCGGTCTCGGCGTCTCCCCGGGAGCGCGGCCGCTGGGACCAGCTAGAGCCGCGCGCGAGGCGGAGCCGGGCTGGAGTGGGGGGCGTGGGCGCCCCCTGACGGCCGCGTAGACGGCGCCTGCCCACCCCCCACGCCCACCCGCGAAGGGGGTGGATTTGGCGGCGGCGCCCGGCGCGCGGTTCCGGGAGGCCGGGGCGCGCGGGCGGGACGGGCCGGTCGGGCGGGCTGCGCGCGAGGCGTCCGACGCCGGGGGATTGTGAGCGCAGCTGTACGAGGCCAGGCAGCGAGCCGCCGGGGCTGCGCGCAGCGCGGGTCGACCAGCTCTCCGCGGGGGCAGCGCCTCCTCCCGCAGGCCACCGGGACCTGCACAGCGCGGGGCGCACCTCTGCGGGAGGGTCCCGGGGGAGGCAGCGGCTGTCCCGCGCCCGGGGCTGCATCTCCGTCGGCCCGACTGCCGCGTACCGTCCCGGGGGAGGGAGCCCCGGGGGTGTGAGGGACCACCGGGGTCCAGCCCCGCTGCCGCGCCCGGAGGTAGGAGATGCCGCCGCTGTTCACCCCAAGTCTCCCGCAGGAGCCGCGGGGTCGGGGGCCGCGAATCAAGCGGGGTCCGTGACCCTAGGGTCGGGCCGGGGGCTGGGGGCCGAGTGCTGCGGGTGGGGGCGGTGCCTGAACGGGGACGAGGCCGCGAGCCGCGAGCCTGGGGTGTCTGGAGCCGGAGCCGGCACAGCATCCGCGAGTGAGGGGGGGCGGGGGCCGAGCCCCCCGCGAACTCGTCGCAGCCGGCCGGGGACCTGGGGCGGGCGCTGTCGCGGGGGGCGGGCGCCGGGGTCGCCGGCGGGGGCGGGCGGGACCCGCGAGGTGCGAGCTTCGCGCCGAACCCGCGGAAAGACCGGGGCCGGGGCCGCGAATCGGGGCCGGCGCGTGGGCTGAAGCCAGGGGCCCGGGGCCGGATCCCAGGATCCCGGAGTCTCAGGACTCGGGTCTCCGGCGGGGTCGGGCCGGAGCCGCCCTGGGGGAGGGCCGCGGGGGGAGCCGGGCCGGCAGCGCCCCAAGTGCGGAGAGTCCCCCAAGACGGCCGAGGCTGGGGTGGCCCCGCCGCGGGGCCCCGGCTCCTCCTCTGGCCCGAGGTCGACCAGAAGCCCCCGCGCACACCGGGGAGGTGGCAAAGCGGTCGTGCGGGGAGGCGGCAAAGGGGTCGCGCGGGGCAAAGGGGCCGGGGTTCGGGCCGCAGCTCCAGGGGCCGTGGGCTCGGCCCCGCCCCTGGGCGCTGAGGTTTTTCTGGCCCCAAATCGGCGCTTTTTGCCGCCAGAGTATCAGCGGCTGCTCTCTTGGGGCGGAACCCCGCGCGTGCCCTCGCCGGTGTCCGTTTTCGGGCGTCTCCGCAAACCCGCGCCCTCGCTATGGTGTCTCAGAGCTCCGCACCGCGCGCCGCAGCAGCACCCGCCCACGGTGGAAGCACAGCCGGCTGCCACACACGGTCTCCCGGCGGGTGCTGCCGCTGCCCAAAGGCGGGGTGAGTGTGCCAAGCGGGCAACAGGCTCCATGGCCAGACCGGTGCTCAGCCTCTGAGAAGCCGCGGAGTCTGCAATAAGCGTCTCCATCTTGGAGTAGCTGGGGGTGCTGCCCGGCAGGGCTGTGAGTTTCCTGCACGTTCCCCAAAACCTGATCAGGGTAGTGGTGCGTCACGCAGAATGCAAACACTGCACCCACAACGCACAACGCACCCCACACCTCGAGCTGGTGAGGGGGGCACTCCCAGTGGGGTTGGAAGTCTTGTTTCAAGACTAGGATAACACTTAGCCCCACAACTGCTATGGTGAGCCCTGGGGCCTGCACCAGCCCTTCCTGTGAGGGGCGCCTTGTCAGATGTGGAACCCTGTGCCCACAAGGCGGGCTCAAGCAAAAACGGACTTGTAGAGAAAATGCCTCCGGCCTGAGGCTGCTGCTGGGTCAGACCTTGCGCCAACACCCTTGTTGGTGGCTGCTCCCCATGCTGTGAATGTGGAGCACTGGGGCTGGGAGGAGGCGGGTGTCCTGGCGGGTGCATGTTTTCTGCGGCTATGCCTCTGTGTGCTCCAGGGCCCTCAGCCCCTGCCTGTGGCCTCTACTGTGTGCCCCAATGGCTCAGGACTTGCTCCTCTTCTGTGCTCCTGTTTGCTTGTCTACAGGGCCTGGCCCCCAGTGTGCCTCGCTGTTCTGATGCCCTGAAAGGAGCAGCGGGTGCTGCCCTGGCCCTGTGTCCCTGTGTCCCTGCCTGCTGTGGTGCTGGCCTCAGACCAAGTTGGGGTTGATGGAGTGTCCACAGCTGCACACCTCAGTGGTGTGGCTCCTCAGGGAGCTTGCCCTCCCCTCCTGGAGGGTCAGTCATACAGTTGCCAATGTCATGAGCTGACCCCCCTGTGCATATACAGCCTCAGAGTTGGGCCCTCCGGGCCTCTGTGGCCTTTCTTGTCTTGGTCTTCTCTGGCCATACTCTGTGCTGCCCTGGCCACTACCTGGCTCTTGGCTTACACTGTGCCAGGGTCTCTGGGCTCCCTCCCAAGGCAACTATCCACCTGGGATGCAGTGAAGAGGGCCCTTGTGTTCTACAACTGATGTTCACCGAGCACTCAAGCTGTAGGGGGACCTGAGGTAAGTCTTGTGCTTGGGGTCAGTCTTTTTGGCCCTCAGGCTGTGGGTACCTGTGGCTGCTAGCTGGGCAGCTCATGGTTGGTGTGGCTGCTGGATACACCCTCAGTGGGGTGTCATGCTACCTGGAGCCCTCACTTTGGAAAGAGCCAGTGTGTTGAGCCACCTGGACCCATGGGGCTGTTTTTGGGCTAGAGGGCAGCCTTTGTGTGGTGCTGCTGGAGCAGGAGATGCCAGAGAAAGGAGGAGCCCCATGTTGCCAGCTCCAGTGTGCAAGAGAGGCCTGTGGGGGCAGCTGGTGCTGGTGGGGCTCCAGGAGTGCCTGCCTGTGGGCAGTGCCCAGGCCACCACAGCCCCATGGGGGCTATAGTGTCACAGTAGATCCAGCAAAGGTGGTAACTGGAGGTCCTTGGGGGCCTGGGGTTGGCTGAACCTGTGTTGCCTGCAAGTGTCAGAGGCCTGGAGTTCTGGGTGGTGGCCAGCAGCACCCATCTCCCACATGGTACTGCTTGCCCCAGGAGCTGGGGCCCTTAGGGTCCTGTGTGGCTGGTTGTAGAGTGGAGCCCTCCACTGGGCCCTATAGGGGAGGTGCCCCTGGTGGGCAGGTGGAAATCCAGCTCATGGTGACTGAGTGTTGTGTTGCCTGATGGGTCACTGCCCCCATCACTGAGGTTTGCAGCCTCCCTGAGTTTGGGTGGGCAGTGGGGGTGCTTGAACTGCCAAAGGCTCTTGTCCAAGCAGTTGGCTGTGCGCTGAGCCCTGCCTTGTGTGCATGGTATCCAAGCCCTGCTGTCACATAGTGGGGGCTGTTAGGTAAAGAGGAAGAGAAAGCTCTGAGCCCCCAGATGGCTGTTCTCTTCCCTGAGGCACATCAAGTGCTGGCTGAGCCCTGTATACAAGGCCCCTGGGGTGGCATCTTGCCCCCTGTGAGTGCTGCAGCCTGGACATGGGATTCCGGCTCTCAAGACAGTGGAGGGCCATGACAGGCAATGCCCCAGAGGTGCTGGGGCAGCTTCAGGCTCCAGCTGCCTTTAGAGGCTGGCCAACCATGGGGGTGGCTGTGGGAGCCCTTGCTTGTGCCTGCAGGGCTGGTGTTGCTGAAGCCTCCACGAGAGGGCACCTGGAGTCATGGAGGGCTGATGCCAGGGCTTGGCCCCATCCAGCTCAGTGGCTCTGTCCCCTGGTGCTGTGTGCCCCAGGGTTGTGCTGCCCTTACTGGACTGCCCCTGGAAGAGTGTTTAGCTTCAGCCCCATTGCAGTGGTGGCAGGGGTGCCTTGCCCATGTTGAGGGGGGCTGGGGGCCATGGCCTGGTCTGTCAGTGGTGGGCTCTGAGGGGTGGTGGCTCCTCTCTGCAGGCCCTTGCATCTCCTATGGCACCTTAGAAAGTGCCCTTTTTACTTGCTATGATAACCCTAACCCCAAGCAATGGTGTGGGCTGGGCTGACTCTGCTATGCCTGTGTGCTCCCTGTGGGGGTTGCCTCTGCTCATCAGTGGGGTGAGACTGCCGGGGCAGATGGACTCGTGGCAAGTGGGGAACAAGCACCGCGGCAAGCGTGGTCCAGGTGGCTCTGAGAGGCCACGGGGGCTGTGGGTGAGTGCTTTGGTCTGGGAGCAGCACTGGGGGCGGGTGCTTACGGGGCAGTTCTCCATGTTGCCTGCAGGCTCCCCAAGACCTGGTTGCGGGTGCAGTGGGTTGTGCCTACACTGTGTCCCATATGTGGGGCCCCTGGTCAATACTAAGTGAGCCATGGGCTCCTGCCTGGAATAGAGCAAAGGGGCCTCATGTTGTCCTAAGCTGCTGGGACCTGAGCTGCAGCCCATACCACCACCCCTCTTAAGAGGGTGTGCTGCCTGCGGTGGCCCCTGTGGGGCTACATGGTGTTCTCAAGCACAAATGCAGGTGCAGAACTGGCTCCCCTGAGCCCCGAGCTGTGGTGAGGCCAGGCCTCGTACCCAAGCCCATGGTTTGGGGGGCTGTTCCCTAGGCTGACTGTGGTGTAGCAGGGCTAGGAAGAGAAGGGGGCTTGGGCTATCTGGGGTTGGAGGGGGGGCTTCCATGCCTCTGAGCTCCTGCCTGTGGCCTCCGTGGCGTTGCCCCAGTGGCTTGGGGCCTGTTTTCCTCATGTGTTCCTGTTGAGGGGGCCTGACTCCCTAGATTCCCCCTGTCCTGATGCCTCACTCCAAAGAGCAACATGTGGTTGGGGGTTGCTGCCTGTGCCTATGCTACCAGGGGGCTGTGGCTGTACCCCCTGTTGGCAAGGTGCCCCACCACACTTGGCAGGAGGTGGGCCCTGGACTTGTCTGTGTTATGGCCAAGGTGCATGTGTGCCTGGAGTGCTCTGGACCCGCGGGCGGCGCCTGAGGTCTACGCTGGGACACACAGCTGCTCTTGTGAGTTGGCTGTTAAACCCTGGAGCCCCAGAAACTGCGGGGGTGGGTAACCCTGCTCAGTGTGAGGGAAGCCTGTGCCCAGGTGCCCATGAGGAAACAAGGATCCACCCTGGTGCGTGAGTGCTTGCCTTCAGTCAGGCCCGCAGCCCACTCGCCCCCTGGCAGGGGCTGCTCGCTAGGAACGGCCCCATCCTCCTGCTGCAGCTCCGGGGTGCTTTGCCCCTTCCTTCCTGGATGGCAGGAGACGCCCCTGAGGGAGTGGGATGTGGGCGGCCCGAGTCCGGGGCACAGGTGGCCAGGTGTGTCGGTTCCTGGGGGAACCTACACGCGGCCGCTTGGGTCCCAGGCCCCTCCTCCTCACTGGGTTGCCGGTGGGGAGGGGGCCGCGGCTGCTGCTGAGCCCTGCTGAGGTCGACCAGTTCAGTTGCCCGCAGGCATTCAGGTGGGTCGACCAGATGGCCCACTCCTGCCCGCCACCAGGTGGTGCTGCAGATGAAACAGAGTGTAGTGAGGCACCGGGCATGGCCGGGCTCCACAGGAAGCGACACTGCGGGGCACAGCCAGACTGGGCACAGCCAGACTGGACCGGGCATGGCAGGGTTCAACGGGACGCGACGCGACAGGGCGGGGCAGGGTGCGGCGGGGAGCTACAGGACACGGGGGCAGGACGCCAAGACGGGACGGGAAGGGGCGGGGTGGGGTGGGACAGGACGCTATGCCACGCGAATACAGTGACCCTATTCAGATTTGTGTCCTTTCCCTTTAGATGCCCCTTTTTGTTGGAGTGACTGCACCCCAGGAGCACGATGGGGAGAGACCCCCCATTTCAAACCTGCATGTCTTCATTTCTCTAGCATAGCATTAAAAGGCCTTGGAATCCTAGTCAAGTGACATGAAGCACTTTCACCATTTATTTGGGATTTCTTGCGTGAATCCCATATTCTCGGCAGAGCGACGCTCTATTTCCATGTCCAGTCACAGCTGCTGAGCTCAGAGAGCAAAAATTAGAAAAATAGACTCATCCTCGCAGGTTTTCCCCATTACCTTCATGGGCTTGGGACAGGGGCGGGCCAAAATAAGGCGTGCGCAGTGTCATAAGCCAACTTTGGGATTCTACAAATGGAAAATCACCCTCAAATGTCCACGTCACACACACGCACATGCACACACACACACACACACACACACACACACACACACAGGTCCTGATCCAGGCAGGCCGCAGCCAAGGCTTCCAGAAAGCTTGGGAAAGCGGTGGAGAGGCCACATTCCCACAGAGCCAGAAATCAAGAAAATGATTTTTTGAGTCAGTCCAGCCATTATGAGTTAGAAACAGGACGGTGTGACATAAAAAACTCGGGGCATCCAACTTCAGGAAGCTGCCGAGGCTGGTTCTACCACTGGATAATCTGTAGTCAGAGAACACAAAGGATTCAACCTCCACATTGACACGAGGAGTAGAAACACATTTTTTCAAACCCAAGAGCTAATCATGGGAAACATCGCAAAGCTGGAGGGAAATGGATATAAATCCATCCTGATGCTGTTTCTTTGGAGAAGCCAGAGTCAACTAATCCAACACTTACAAATCGACCAAAAAGGGAAGGGTAACATGGTAAAAATGAAGGCAAACATGGCAATGGCTGAGTGGGAGGATTTTCTAGCAACAAAATCCATCATGAGGATAAATAAAAAGCAACAGATACACGGCAGCCAAGAGTCAGCCCTCCCGGGCTCCAGGACGTGATCCCTCAACGGAGGCCTTTTTCCAAATGTCAAGGAACCGACTCTTTACAAGCAGATAAAAGGGTGAGTGAGTCCTCACATGACCCCGAATTCAACAGACGAGAGACTCCTCCGGAAACAAGAAGGGGGTTCAGTATCTGGAGAAATATCCTACGTCCCAAGGACACAGGTCAGGAAGCTACTAGCACTGTCCACCCCCAGAGCTACCTCTGTCTACCTTCTGTGAGGTCCCGCTGCACCTCCAGCTGGGGCCACCGGGCGAATCCCTGCCCCCTCCCAGTGGGATAGAAAACATTTGCATCAAGGATGACTTCGTTCAGGGACACGGGTGCAAAGCCTCCCCAAAAGGTTAAACGCAACAAAAGTAATGTCCCGGGTGTTGAGAGGGCACTTGGTCAGCCTCAGTGGCCTGTCCTGCTGCTAGCCCGGTCACTTCCTCCCCGACGCGCAGAACCCTTGGCGGCAGTGGCACCATGGTCAGAGGAAAAGCGCCAAGGGCATCCCAGTCAACACCAGAACAGGGAGAGCACACACACCACCAGGACGATGGCCGTCTGCTGGGGTGCTCTGGGCCACTCCAGGAAGCCCTGAAACAGAAGAGGGGGTGACAACGGCTGAGGGGGGGGGCTCCCCCGCTTGCAGGACGAGGATTAGGCCCAGGGATGGCTCGGCCTGGCACTTGCCTAGCTGTTGCGATGCCAGGAGGATGCGACCGGGTGACAGATAAATACACAAGCCATGTCCAGGGTGCCTGGCAGAGGGCACGGTCACACGGTTCTGCCACAGCCACGCTGCCTGGGGGGACCGAAGGTCACCCTATCCACGGCGCCCTGACAGAGGGAAGGGGAGACTGTCCCTGAGAGGCGGCTCCACGTGTTCCCCACTAGCAAGGCTTGCGGTGCTAGAGGCCGGTCTGACCCCAGGTTTCTCCAGCAAACCCTCTCCTGAGCTCCCTCTGGCTCCCGCCTCTCCCCGGGGATGGCATGGGCCTCTTGCCATTTACGGAGCCCTAGTAGCCCCAAATCCCTTCACCCCACCCCAAAAGCTCCCCGCAACGTCCTTTCATCTCTGCTTCCGGCCCTTCCAGGCTGAGCTCCACCTGTCGCTGCCCCCCACACACACACCCCAAGGCTGCCCAGCTCCCCCCTCTCAACTTGGTATTCTGCTCTCCCCCTGTGCCTCGCCCCCAGTCCCGGGGCGCAGGAAACTCGCTTGAGCTCCTGTGTGGCCTGACTGAGCCTGTCCAGGCGACTCAGCTGGGGGCGGGTGGGGCTCGGCTCCCCCTGGGGAGAGAGGGGTCCGGCTTTCCCGTCACTTGCGTCATGGCCCCCCGCCCCCGTCCCGGCCCCTCCCGCCGCCCGCGGGTCCCCGCGAAGACTCCCCTCCCCAGCCAGACCCAGGCCGGGTTCTGCGGAGCCGGCGCCGCAGCCACCGCGGGTGCGCAGGCGCCGGGGAGGCGCGGGCGGGAGGGGGAGGCCGGGCGGCCGGGGCAGCAGGGGAGGGGGCGCGTCCCCGCCCGGGTCCCGGGGAGCGTGCGCCCTCTGGGGCGGAGCGGGCGCGGGGACTGCAGGGCCTTCCGGTCCGCGGCTCCGTTTGGGGGGCTGTGGTCGCGGCGCGCGGGCGCTGGGGCCACACTGGGGCGTGGGCCAGGACCGCGCGTGGACGCCCGCAGGGGCCGGACGTCGTGGCCGCCCGGGGCGGCTCTGGGGTCCGCAGCTCAGCGGGGGAGGGCGGGAGCAGGGGTGTGGCAGGCGGGCCCGCGAGGCTGGCAGACCGCCGGGTCAGGGGCCCGCTTTGCCCATTGTTACTACTGCGCCCTCCCCAGGGCCTGGGGCCTGTCGACCTCCGTGCCTCAGTTTCCCGTCCTGATGGGGGCGGGAGCCATCGCGCCCGCGCGGGGAAAGCGAAAGCCGCGCAGCCGGGACCTGACGCGCACCGGTCACCGCCCTTCGCATCTCCCAGTTCCGCCAGATTCCCACAAAGCCATCCATGGCAGGGAAAGCCCCCCTTTTCCCTGTGACCTTGAAGTGCAGAGCGCGCTCCCTCCCGCGTCCCCGTCCCTCCCCCCTCCCGGCGCCCAGGGGTTTTCACAGGGGCCTCCCTGGACTGCCGCCCCCTCCAGGGCTCGGGTCTGGGGTCTTGGCCAAGGCCTAGCTCTGATTTCTTGGGCTCCCCCTACCCCCCGCAGGTGCTCCCATTCCCTACCCCCGCAGATGCTCCTGTTCCTGTGCCACCGCCTAAGTCCCAGCCTTGAGTTTGGCCCTTCCACACTTTTTTGAATAGTTTTAGGCGAGGATGTAACTTTTTTTTCGCAAATGGATAAATACTTGAGCCGTCCCAGTGACTCAAACAAGCAGCACAACTGACTGTCCGGCAGGGTCCATGCACAGCCCCTGTGGGCATCTCGGGGAGCCCCAACAGCCCAAGGGCAGATGCCGTGGAAGGAGAAGGGAAGGAGGCCTAAAGGACATCCCTGTCCTGCCTGGGGGACATGCGCCAGGAAAGTGGGAGCCCGAGACCGGAGCTTAGGGGTGCTCTGTGGTACTGTCGGACCCAAACCTCTTTGTTGACAGGCGTCTCCATACCTGGACCTGCCAGGTCAGCAAGGTGTGGAGCCAGCAGGAGCCTCCAGGAATGTTGTGTCCGGAATGTTCTAGAAGGAGGAACAGATAAAATAAGATCTGTTAGGAGGCTGCTGCAACAAGCCAGGTGAGAAAGGACACGCCTGCAAGGAGGTAGTAGCGAGGATGCAGCTCAGTGGACAGATTCGGACTCGCCTTGGAGACAGAGCTGAGGATGCCCTCATGGAGGACATGGCAGTGGGGAGTGGAGGGCAGGGGCTTTGGGAAGCGTTTGCACTTTTGAGTCCCAGCATCTGCGTGTCCTGTAGGGCCCTGTGTGGGGTGGAGATATATTTTTTAAAGATTTATTTATGCATCCAAGAGCTGGGGTGCAGGCTAGAGGTGTGGGGGGGAGAGGATTCACCAGAGACAAAGTAAGGAACAGAACAGGCAGACTGACTGAAATGCACTGCTGAGGGGCGGCTCAGGAGAGGTCTGCAGCGCCATGTGGATTACCTCCCTGGCCGGCCAGGGGATGGAACTTGTGCTGCTGAGGCTGCAGGTTGCCCCTGGCACCACAGGGAGGCCCTTCCATTGTCTTAATATTGACAGTCACATGAACATATCAGAAGGAGTGTGAGTGACTGCACAGTGCAGGACTCAGCCCTGACACGGAGCCTGCTGAGCAGGCCTCTGCCATGAGCCACTCCCTGGGCCGCAGCATGCGGCCCCTGGCTCTGCCCCCACCCACACACCGTGGCCCAAAGGGCAGGGTTCTGTGACACAATCCGGGAATCCCGTAAGTGAGCAGCTATTGGGAGCCCCGCTACTCATGTCTGACAAAAGTCCGTGAAAGGTTCGGTGCAGTAAAGAAAAGGAGAGCCAGGCTACATTTCTCAAAGCGAGGGAAAGTTTATTGCGCCCCGGGCGGACCTCATACACCCAAGGTGGGGGTCAGTGAAGCCGTGCACGTTGTTAGGGGGAAGCAGGGTTTTATAGGGTAAGGAGGGGTCAGGTGGGAAGTTGGGCTCCTATGGCAGGAAAAAGTTTGTTGGGTGGGGGGAGTTTCCTGGGACAGGTAGAGGTTCTTTGTCTGAGAAGAGACTCCTAGGGGGAGGAGGGAGGCTCATTGTCTGAGTCCTCCAGGCAGGTTTTCCACATTCCTGCCCCCAGGTGGGCTACCTGGTGGGTTTTTGCATTCTGGCCTCCTGCATGGACCTTTCAGTGTGGACTTGGGGCAGATTTCTGAAAAATCAGGAATCTCATTAGCTGACTCCAAGATTCTCCTCATTTGTTTATGGCTAGTTTCTATCATTGCTAAAATACGCATTTAAAAGTAAAACTGCAAATACTGATCAATCACTGAATAACCATTTTGATGACAAATGGCACTGCATGATACAAATATTACATTTTTCATAAAATTAGTAGTCCTTTGCCAAAAAGGCAGCAATTCAACATTTGGCTTTACATTAACCAGTGAAAAACTTCTGGAAACAAAAGATTGTAAACATCTATCGGCCAAGTCTTTGATATAGAGATGTTGTCTTTTGAGGCAAGAGCTAATTGGAGAAAAAAATTCCTTTACTTTAAAGATAACAGTTGGGTGGCAGAGGTGAGTCATGCTCCAAGTATAAGAAAATTCCTGATAAACCAGGAGACGCCATAGTTGACTCCTGCTGATTCTTCCTGTTTGTTTAGGGCTAATTTCCTTGGATGTGACAATTGGTATGGTAGCTGTTAGAGTATACATTCAAGAATAAGTCAACAGCAATTTTGTGAATGGTTGAGCTAGTATACATTCAAGAATAAGTCAACAGCAATTTTATGAATGGTTGAGCAGCACAAATAATGCACTCGGAAATGGTCAATGTTACAACTACTGATATGTCACATATTGACCATTTTTGAGAATCAAAGGCTATCACCATCTCCGCTCCTGCCCAATAAAATATTTGTAGTTCTGTAACAGGGTGGTCCCCAGGAAAGGGGGAGGTTCCATGTTCCCTGCCCCACCCAAGGGAGGATGGAGCTAAGCAGGAAGAGAAGAAGCTGCAGAAGAGCCTGAGGAAGGAAGCAGGATGGAGCCAGGAGACCTGGAGGAGACGCATGGAGCCTAGAGACACGTAAAGAAACTGCGCTTGTCTTTTGGTCGTGGACTGGGTGACACAGATGTGGGTGAGACCTGTGGGGAGGTGACAATGGCAGCTTTTATCTTGATGTTGATTTTGCTCTTTTCCTTCCGGGCTTGTCTGGTTGTTCCTGACCCTTTTCTGTGGGTCCCCACTGGAAGATGCTTTAGACTTGTAGCAGGCCTTGGGGCCTTGTTCTGGGCCGATCCCATATGGATGGACTTTTACCCCCGAGGGGACGGGTAACTCTGGATGCTTCATTTAGAAACTAGACTCTTTGCCTTACCTGTATTGTTTCTTAGTTTAATTAAAGTTCCTTCCCATTAAAGTCTCCTATGTTTTGTGTTGATGCGGCGGATGGCAGAACCCATGTAGAATAGGCAGGTTTGCGGGGTTTGGGCTGCCCCTCTCCCTGTCCTATAACAGTTCCTTAGAACAACAACCAGCAACCTTATGGAAGAGGAAATTGCCCCTTGATCTTACAGTTAAATACGGAAACTAGGCTGACTAGATAAAGTAGAGAAGTGATAGGTAGAAAACTCATTGTTTAGATCAGGAGACTTCCCTTAATTGAGAGTTGAGGGCTAGGGAAGAGTCAGTGCGGCTTGCCTGGCATTAACGCCCTCCAGGCCCTTGGTTCCTTAATATCCAATCAATATTAAAACAATATACTATAGATGATGATTTCTATATAAAAGCCTTCTGTTTTTTACTTTAATCAATTGGTTATATGTTAGTCTGCTGCAGGAGGCCTTGTTGCTCCAGCCAGATAGGATACTGACAAGCAGCTAAGAGAAAAGGCCTCACACCGTGGGGCTGAAGATCTGGCATCCCTTTGCTTTCTGTTCTTGGTCATAGAGAGAGAGAAATTTATCAGAAAGTATATTAGGCAATAAATTATATGTATCAGCATACTGTAAGTAAATAGCACGAAAAATTGTTTAGAAATTAGTTGTTGGGCAGTTTGGCCCACTTGACAATGGGAGATGGTTTGTTGAACATGCCTGACAAGCATTACAATACAATAATTATAGTGGGTCCTTCTTTTGCCTTCCCTTGAAGTTTCTTGGGAAAGTTTTTAAATAAAGCTACTTGAGTTAGGAGTTTCTAAATAAAAAAAGTTCTGATAGCTGAGTAGCAGCCAGCTCCTGCTGTGAAGGCCATGAGAATATGAAGTTTCTTGGGAAAGTTTTTAAATAAAGCTACTTGAGTTAGGAGTTTCTGAAATAAAAAAAGTTCTGATAGCTGAGTAGCAGCCAGCTCCTGCTGTGAAGGCCATGAGAATAAGAAAAGTCTTTTTTTGCTTAGGCTTTAGCTGATAGGGATGTACTGGCGGCTATCCACTGTCTTAGGTTATTGTTTAGCTGAAACAATGAGTTCTAGTGTAAGGCTTAGTTTTTTTATTGACCTTGAAGGTTGCCTTCTTACTGAAAGCATGTAGCAGCCAAAAGCCCATAGAAAAAGAGATGCACTGATTGTTTCTGCTTTGTTTCTATGCACCTGATAATGTAATCTTGTTAGGGAGAAAAGGGATGTCCCAAAGCTAATTCCATATAGGCTTTGTGGACTCCACCCCCACCCCAGGTCAAAGCCAAAGACACTGGGAACTCCAAATCCCATCACCACCCAAGGGAAGGTGGCTGGGACCTGAGGGTGGGGTTAAGCAGCCAGGTGGATATAAAAGGCAGACACGTGGGCTTTGGGGGTCCCCATTTTTTGGCTCTCCACCAGCTAGCAGCGTCTGGCCAGCTCTGAGAGTGACTTTGGATTTCCAGGTCATCGGATCGGGTAGGACGCATTAAAGACTTTATTTCCCTATTTTCTCCCTGAGTTGTACATTTTCCTTATTTCCTTTTCCCTTGTAAATAAACCTTTTATTAACCTTTTGTGTGTGCCTGTAGTGGAGTATTCATAAGTCCCTTTTAAGCGCGCGGGTGAGGACCCACAGCCAGGCAACCTGTTTTATATCGGGGTTGCTCTATAACAGCTTGGCGCCCAACGTGCTTTGCAAGTTTCACCCGTGGTTGACCAACCCAAAGTAATTTTTCTTGCATTGGTCACCATAAAAGCGCATTAGGTCTGCAGGACTCGCAGTGAAACTCTTTGTTTCACGTCTTGAAAAGTCTTTTTTTTTCCGCGCATACGGCTCTTGTGGGTGTGGTTTTGACCCAAACGTGGCCCCAACCATGAACTTCAGCAGTTTAATCCCTAACTTGAGTTCTTTCAGTTTTTTTCCGGCCTTGAATTTAAGTAGCCTTTTTCGGTTAAATATTACCACTAGTTTAATAAGTGTAAATAATTGGATTAAACCTAGCATATGGCACATGATTTTAATTCTGTATACATATGTGAATGGTTTACAAGCCATCCCTTTGCAGTCTGTGCTTCTGGGTGTTTTTTTGGTAATGTGCATAGGCACCATGTGCTACATTCTTGTTTCTATGAGAAGTAGTGGTTATACTTCCCATACTGAGAATGTGCTGCAACAAATTCAAGCTCTTAACTTAGCTATGAAACAACAAAATCAGGCTTTTGAGTCAGCTTTTCAAAGCATGCAGGATCAAGTGCAACGACAAAATCAGGCTTTTGATTTGACTATTGACAGTGTGAGGGATGAAAATCGTAACGTTTTTGAGTCAGCTTTTAAGAGTATGCAGGACCAGATACAGGCCGCTCTTCATAAATGGGATATGGCGGAGGCGAAGGCTAGGGTAATGATGCAGGGAAGAGATAAACGTTCTCCTTCCCATGAGGACTGCAGAAGGGCAGAGTTAGAAGAGGAGGAGGAGATTCATTTGCTAAATACCTTAAACTCATCGGGACAAAGGCCCTCTCCACGTGAAGATGCCCCTCCCGCACAGACTCCTAAGGTTTCAGGACAAAGGCCTTCACCACGTGACCAGGCCCCTCCTGAGGCCCCTCCCACACAGATTCCTGAGGCTTCACAGCCTCCATTGCCCTCCAGGGAGGTAGTTATCATGGTGTCTCCTCCCCACAGTAGGAGCGGCACCCATTTTGGCAGTAACGATCGCCCTGTGGCAGGACAGTTTCCTCTTCGCCAGTTGCCGATAGGTGGCGTGAATGAAGAGGGGAGACCTGCTGCGTACTTTTGGTCGCACCGTCCTTTTTGCACCGGGGACCTCCTAACTTGGAAGAACTCTGTTCCCTCGTACCGGCAGGCTCCTAAGAGGACGGCGAACTTGTTTGCCTCCGTTTTTCTCTCCCACCGCCCTAACTGGGCAGATATACAGTTGATGTTACAAGTTTTACTAGGTCTAGATGAGCGGAGGATAGAAGTGAGAAAAGCAAGGGAGGAGGCTGCACGTCTCCGCCAACAGGATAGCCAATCCCCAGAGCCAGAGATTGCTGTCCCAGAGGTAGATCCTGAATGGGACCCCAACAATGGAGGACTGGCGAAGTTGAATCTGTATAAAAAATGTTTATTGGTAGGACTAGAGCAGGGAATCCCCAAACATAAAAATTTTAACAAAATATTGGAACTTACACAGGGGCTAATGAGGATCCATCAGAATTCCTTGAGAGGATTATTCAGACGTATACAGACCACACGGATATAAATCCGGATGCCCCAGAAAATGCTCGTGTGTTCACTATGGCGTTCATCACAAATAGTGCTCTGGACATAAGGAGAAAGTTAGCAAAGGTAGACGGCGTCACAGAAATGAGTCCGTCCCAGGTAGTGGACTTAGCATTTAAGGTTTATAATAATAGAGAGGACAAGAGAGAGGACAGGAGACCGAAACCTGCGACTGTTTTTGTGCAAAGAAAGCACAGGCCAGGGTTTCGGGAAAACAGTAATGGACAGAGACGTGAACCCCTGGGAAGAGATCAGTGTGCTTTCTGTAGGGAAGAGGGACATTGGAAGTACAGTTGTCCCAGGTTACAGGGAAGAGGCAGACGCAGTAATTACAGAAGGCAGGATAGAAGACTGAGGACACCACCACAGGATGATTCATGTAGGGGTTACAGGAGGGAATATAGGAGGAGTACACAGAACCAGGAACCAAGGAGAGAGGAAAAAAGACAGATGTAGAGGCTCAGATGATGATAGGGAATACGGACGGAGAAGGAATCGAGAGCCCAGCACAGAGGACAGGAGACCAGTGATAGCACAGAGTAAGGTCTCAGGTGAAGATAGGAGGGAATATAGACAAAGTAGAAGGAATATGGAGCCAAGTGTGGAGGAAAGGAGACAAATAATAGTTCATGGAGAAGATTCAGATGAAGAATAGGGGTGCCCAGGGGTTCCACTAGATCTTAAACCCATCAAAATAACCCCCTCGGAGCCCTGGGTAACCCTCGCTGTGGGGGATCGTCTGATTGATTTCTTGGTGAACACTGGAGCAACATACTCAGTTTTGAATTTGAAATTAACTAAAATGAGCAAAAAGACTGCAGCAGTCATTGGGGTTACAGGGAAGTCACAACAGACACCCTTCCTGCAACCTTTGGAGTGCCGGCTAGGCACCACACAGCTCCAGCACAGCTTCCTATACAAGGAAGAGTGTCCAATCCCTCTCCTTGGTCGGGACCTTTTAAGTAAGCTCAATGCACGAATTATATTCTCACCCAAAAATCAGAGGCTTCACCTACAGGTTCCTCCAGAGCATGCTCTGCGGTTCCAGATGTTGCTTACTCAAGATGTTCCACCAAAAAGTGAAATTTTACCTCCAGAAATTGTTGAAAGAGTAAGTAAATGGGTATGGGCTGATGGAACCCCAGGACGTGCGAAAAATGCGGAGCCTGTAAAGATAGAAGTGATAGAGGGGAGCAGAACCCCGAAAAGGAAACAATACCCCTTAAGGCCTTGAGGGGAATTGAGCCAGTATTGAAAAGGTTCCTTCAATCTGGACTCATTCGACCCTGTCGCTCACCGTACAATACTCCAATTCTGCCAGTGAAGAAACCCCATACAGGCGAGTACCGTTTTGTCCAAGATTTAAGAGCTATTAATGATATTGTTCAGGATTTACATCCCACTGTGCCTAACCTGTACACCCTATTAACTGCCATACCTGGTGACTATGGGTGGTTTTCAGTATTAGACCTGAAGGATGCCTTTTTCTGTATCCCAATTGATGTCCAGGATCAACTGCTTTTTGCCTTTGAGTGGCAGGACCCTAAGTCCAAGAGCACTCTCCAGTATTGCTGGACTGTGCTTCCACAGGGATTTAAGAACTCCCCAACTATTTTTGGGGAAATACTGGCCAGGGATCTCAGGAAGGTTCAACTAAACCAGGGCGTCTTATTGCAATATGTAGATGATTTATTGATTGCAAGTCCAGACTACGAATCTTGTCTGGAAAATACCATAGTGGTACTGAACCACCTGGCAGAATGTGGCTACAACCTGTCACCTAACAAGGCACAGATATGCAAACAAACTGTGACGTATTTGGGGTTTAAAATCAAGAAAGGCAGACGGAGCCTGATGACGGAAAGAAAACAGGTAATTTCAGCCCTTAGAATCCCCAGTAACGGGCGACAGTTCCGCGGATTTTTGGGTATGGCGGGGTTTTGTAGGATTTGGATTCCTAATTTTGGACTAATAGCAAAACCTTTATATGATGCTCTTGATACTGGAATTGTCAGGCCTAGTCTCCCAGCCAGGAACGGATTCCAGGCTGCAGGGCAGTGCTGAGCCCCAGCCGCTAGACCCCCACGGGTTGGTGTCTCACGAAGCCGCAGCAGGAACTTCGCAGACGCTCAGGCAAGCAAGCGAGAAGAGGCAGTCTGTTTAGAAAAAAAAAAAGTTTATTGAGGAGAAAAAGAACAGAAATAAAGTGGGACTCCCAGGCCAGGGAACCAGGCCTGGGAGGGGCAAGGAAGCCAAAGTGGAGTCGTGTTTCAGGGAATATATACCTTTTTTCCCTCATTATTCTAAAGCTTTACCAGTCTCTCTGTGATTGGTTAGTTCTCGGCTGTTTCACTTAATCTGCTACTGAGTGGGGATCTTCACATTCCTTATCTAACAGCTTTTTCTTTTCCCATTAGTTGCATCTTTAAATTTATGGCCCAGTCTTCTGGATGGGCATCCCTGCATTGAAGTTAAACAGTTGCCCTTCTAATGTGACCATAAATTAAACCACTCTCCATTTCTCCAATCTCCGCCTCCCTTTACCACCTGAAGGAAACCAGGACCAGCATTAACAATGTTGTCCTTGGTCCTGGCATGTTTGTTTTTCCTAATGGAATTGGTTATATTTCTTTGGTTGTCCTTATCTCTGAAGCCTCCCTAAATTCTTCAGAGGTCCCCTCCTGCACTGTCCCTAAAACTGCCTAATAACCCTAGCTTGCCCTGTCTCATTCCCCCCTTTTACAAATGGAGCCCTAACTGCAGTTAGGGAAAAGGGACGTAGGTCTGATCAATGACTGCTTCCTGCTGAGAGTGGGCGACGTGGGGAGACAGTTAGGGTTCCACAGTAGGATGACGATTTAAGGGACCCGGGAAGATGGACCGTGGAGACGTCATTTTGGGTTTCATTTGCAGGACCATTTGGAGCTTGATGGCCTCCAGGCGAGTGGAGATGATTCCGAGGAGAGTATTAAGGATGCAGGGCCCAAACAAAAGAACAATAAAGAGAATTAGTAAGGGAACGAGAAAAGGCAGTAGCCAGGACAGAAGTTATCCTTTTATAGAATTAAAGATTGCTTGTGTCCAGCTAAGCCCTTGCCCTGCCTGTTTTTTTGAGATCATCCACAATATATTTTTTCAGTATTTTTAAATTTTGTTTTACCTCATGAGAAGTATTTATTTAAAAGCAACATGTTTTATTTAAGAGGGCACAAACTCCTTAACTTTAGTCATCGGCAGGTCTAGGGTTCTGCGATTTTATATTACTACTAAGACTAGGGATTTTAAGGAGTAATGTTGGGTTAGTGCCCCAAACACCTGGAGGTGTTGTAGCCAAAATGACAGAATTAGTGAGAACTAGGGCTTTAGTGCCATTTTTATGTTTAGTAGCGGCAGCTAGGAGAGCCAATAGTGGCTGTGGAGGCTGCTAGTTTGGAATTTAGTTACAATTTTCTCCATCTTAATAGTTAGGAAAACAAAACTAAAAATGTATAAACAAGTAGCCTTGTAGCCAGCAAGGTAGCAGTGTTGTAAAGTATCCTGGCTCAGGCTGGCCATCTGTACTAGTGAGGGGGACAATTGACCAGTAGGTCAGTCCAAAGAATTGGAGTAAGGCAGAGTAAGTGGCCCTTATTTACCAAAAAGGTGATTTTTACGTCTGCCACTTTTAGGGTCACCCGAGGCTTGTCCATATAAACAGTAAACAGGGGAGTCTCTTTTACCTCTGGGCTTCTTCAGAGATCTTCTCCTGCACCCGGTTCTTTATAGTCAGAGGCAGCTGAGGGTCAAGCCTGTCCTCCCATCCTGGCCCGTGGTTAGGGCTGGCCCCTCCCTCTCTGGAGAGTGGGACAGTCCCTTTTTAGTGCCCTGTGTGATGGCACAGAAGGCATGGCCCTGGGGACAGCTTTTTGCAGCTAAGGTGTCCTGGTTGCAGGTAGTGGAAGCAAGCTGGCAGCCCATTAAGAGGTTGAGGTCCCAAATGCCCTAGGGTGCATGGGGCCTTGGGTGAGTCTGAGGTAGCAGGGTACTAACAATGGCAACTGCCATTTACTGGCCCTTCTCTTGCCTTTCTCCCTTTCTTTTTAGTCTAGTTAGTCCCCTCCATATTACTATGGGCCTTGAAGGCCGTGTTTAAAAGCGTTAAAAGGATTTTAGGCCCTTGATTTAGTTTTAGGAGTTTGTACCTGATGTTAGAGGAAGGCTGACTAATGAAGGAGACTGAGACCCTTAAATTGTTTGTCCTTTTTAGGGTCTAGATTAGTATACCTTTTTATAGCCTCAGTAAATTTAGCCTGAAAATGTCTGGCTTATTAGGTTTTAAGAAGTCTTATGTATTTTAGAATAATTTTATTTGTGTACATTTATGTTGAAAAGGTGAAACAATTTTATGAGAATACTGTCTATGAGGTATCAATATACCCAAATTGACTGTTTGTTTTCACAATAAGAAACAATTTTATATATCAAAATAACTAAAGTTTGGTGCCACACAAGTGCACAACTGACATTTAAGTTAACCAAAATATTTTATGGCAAGTCACTTGAGAACACAAAAGTTTTTTTTTTTTGTTTTTTTTTTAAAATCCCTTACTCAGAGCTTTAACACTTTCCTTTGCCTTTTTTTTTTCTTTTAAAACACAAGCACACCATACTTTACTTGTATCCAGAATTATTACACCTTAGTTTTCAATTTTTGCATTGCAAGACACCACGATAGCCGTTACACTATTATTTCTTCAGATTACACAACTTACAGACACATTTTTTAATTTTGTTGTTGTTGTTGTTGTTGTTGAGATGACATTAAACTTTAGTTTTCTTACAATAAGGAGCAAAATGTAAACCTGAAATTTTAGTAAATGGTTAACAAATTTTATTACTCAACTTAGTAAAAACCTTAGTTTAGTTTTAGTTTTTTTCTTAGAGTTGGAATTTTAAGTCAACTGCAGAGTTGCCACTATAACAATTTTATATACCAAGTTGTTTTTAGGCAAGTACTAGATAGGTTGACAAAAGCAAGAAAAAAACTAGACACTTAATACCAGAAACATTTTTCAGTAACTTGTCTATATGGCTTTAGATGTTACCTTGAATTTTGTGAAGAAATATAGTCATTTACTGGGAGAATATATTGTTTATTCCAAGGGGAAAAGACAAGTAGATTAGTCTTCCTGGAACAAGATCTTATCAAGAGATAGAAGCCTACAAGTAAGTTTTGTTTGTTTGTATAGGCCAGGTTAATTATTATTTCCTTTATAGAGCATGAGTAAACACATTTAAACAACATAAAGTATTAATACCCAACATTAAAACCTTAAGGCATGTATGCTTTTTAAACCATTACATTTTGAATTAGATTTTTTTTACCACAATTTTAGATCGCGATCTCAAAATTTAGGATTTTTTTTTTTTTAATAGGTGCCATTTAAAATTAATCCTCCGGAGGCAAAAAGCAAGAACAAAGAGATCTCTTGATTTCCATTTAAAAATTTTTTTTCCATGTGCACTTATTTCAAGAAACAGTTATTTTTACCAATATTTGTAAAGACACTGAGAAACTACGATTTAGTAAAAATTTTTTTTAGTAACAATTTTTTTGTTTGACACATTTATTTAACCAAGTTTTTAATATTCTTCTTATATTAAGCAGGTTTTAAATGACATAGAAGTTAGAATTCTTACATAGAACAAGTACCCAATTTTAACCCTTACTTAAAACCGAGGGTCCAACCAAAACCACAACAATTTCAAAGTTAAGCAGTTTGTACTAACTTTCTTAGACAAGAAAAACATTTTTAAGTTTGTATTTTTAAGTATTATCAATTGGCTTTACATTGTTTCAGTTTTGTTACACTGAGACCAAGTACATTTTTAAGACAAAAGACATTTTTTTTTTTTAGAACCATGTATGGAGAGGACAGGAGAAGAGGAAGAATAAGATTTTTCCTGTACAGTTTGTCTGCTTTTTTTAACTCTTATCAGAAATTAATTAGTCTTAATAAGAAACTAAACTTTTACAGGTCCAATAAGCAGTTTAGAAATTGTTACTTAACCAAAAATTACCTTTTATGGCTCGTTAGCAAGTCCAAAGTAACTCGGCAGTTTTTACCTTTAACATTTTAGACTTTAAAATCAGAAAAACACAGGGACATAGAACTTTTTCCCTAGCATGAACCAAAACAGTTTTTTTTTAAGGTGGACAAAGGGAGAGTCTAGTTCCCCCACAACTGGAAGGCAGCAGAGACATACCAATAATCTCAATACTGGAAAAAAATAATCCAGGCAGCTGCTTATTGAGAGCAGAGGCAGTCTTTTTTACCAGCCAGCTGTAGTGGACCCCTTTACTTATTAGTCCCCAGCATTTTGTCTTTTTGTCTTGACTGTGACCAAGGAGGGTTAGCTGGAGAAGATGTCATTTATGGCCAAATTGCGCTAGTTTTTTTTTTTTTTTTTTTTTTTTTAAATGTGGCTTACGGGCATGTCCCATGGAATTAAGACAGAGTATTTTATGGTCTCTGTAGCAATAAAAGAAAGGTACCCGCAATAGCAGCGCAGAGACAAAGCAGGGACATTTCTACAGTTAAGTCAGAGGTCGTCCCATCCGACCAGGACCATATATCATGGTCTCTCGACTGGCTCTCAACTCTAGGAGGCCAGGAGAGTTGTCGAGACTTGGGTCTAAGTAACTTACTAAGAGAAGCAACAGGTGAGATAGGAGACAATTACTCCTGAAAATTGGTCTCAATTTTAAGATGCAGGAGAGACGCGTGCCTCTTTTGCATGGCTGACGAGGAGGCTCCCATTTGCAAAAAAAAAAAGGAATGAAAGCAGGTATCCAACATCTGCTTCTTTCCCCAAAGGCGGAGAAAACCTATAGACAGGTCAAATTATAGATTTAGGGTCAAACTGGACCCAATTCTCAATCCACTTCTCCCTTGCCTTTTTACCGGAGGCGTCCCTCCATTTAAACCCGGAGCTCTAACTGTGAGTGATCAACAGTTTCCTCGCATAAAAGTCCACTGGAGTTAACCACTCCTTACCAGTGTGACCGATGTATCTCTGCCTGTCTCCCACCGAACAGACAGGTGTGGGGTACCGGACTTTGTGGGACCCTACCGGAGTTCCCTAACCAGTCTCTGTGCAAAGGGCATTTATTCCAAGCTTCTAGCAAGCTTATAGTAAGTCATTCTCCTCATCTGAAGAAAGAGACCCTGAAAACACCTGAACAGTAGAGACTTAACACAAGCCACAGACCAAGTTCTACGACCTAACTTTTAATGATGTCCATTTGCCAGACAACAAAACTGATTCCTTTTTTCTTAAGCCATAGCCCTTAAAGTGGCAGTAGCCCAGAACCTGATATTTACTTGTCTTAAACTCCCTTTTGAAAAACTGTCATGAGACAAATTTATAATACCAAAGGTATAATTAATTAGCTGGACCTAGGATTTGAGGCAAACCTGTACATACATTCCTGTCATAATATGAAACTCAGCCTCTCCTGCCTGTGCCAACCAGCAGGATTAAAACCGACACCAGGGAAAAGGCTCCCAGAGGTGCCCCAAGATTTTTATAAGACCATTTTGTACCTTATGTTTATAAGTTGCCTTGATAGAAGCTGAAAGAAGTCCGTCCTATAGGGGAGGGATCAAGAAGGTGAAAGTCCTTTTTTTTTTTTTTTTTTTTACTGTTTGGCCTCCGTGACTCTCGCCTAGGTGCCATCCTAGCAGAACGCCTTGTCTGAGCCATCGGATCTCCTGGTGTCCAGGGTTCCAAGGGTCACAGCTTGGTCGTTCTGAGCACCCTCGGAGTCCACAGATGATAGAGGAAAGTAGGAATCAGTGACAAGAGAGTCCCGACATTCCCACTCAGCAAGTGGGGGATCAGGAAGCCTTGCCAGCTGAGAAACCTGTCACCCGAGACTTTAAGAATGGCGGCCTCACGCTAGTCGCTTTTACCGGGCCGACGGGTGCCCATTAATTTTTTGCAATCAAATATAGGACAGAGAAAAAGGTTTTGAAATGTCTACTGCCTGTCTGAAGCCCACAGGTAACAGAGAAGCAAATCAGTTGCATTGCAAGAGAAGGAAGAATGGAAAGGGAGAGAGAGAGCAGAGAAAGATAAGAGGAGCCATTCTAACAATCCTAACAGGGATCTGAGGCCAGGGAAGGGTTCTGTGTAGGATCCTGTGTGGTGCTTAGTGAGGAATGACTTTCCCAATTGTCACATTGGGACCATTCATCCTCCACTGTGTCTCGGCAGCTCCCCCTCTGCTGAAGGCAAGGGAGGATGGCCCGAGCTGCTGGGAGATCAGCCCCTTATGTGCAGCTCCCGGACGGCCTCTACATGACGTATGTGCCTAGCTCTTCGGAGACCGGAGTCCCTCATACGACGACACCAGACTTTTATTCTTTACTGGCAGATGGGCTAGTCCCCTTACCTGGTCTGGTCACCAGTTTATCCTTTCACAGGAATCTTTAAGGCAGTCGCCCTTTGGCATTTACTGACTGTCCTGTGTCCTTTTTATGGCCTCTTTGATGGCTCCAAGAGAAAGAAAATGTTTAGCAAGAGAAGTTTAGGACAAGCTGAAGATAGAAACAATTTGTGCCTCTCGGCTGACTTACCCAGAATCTTGTGAGATCCCGGACGAGCCCCCAAAATGATACTGGAATTGTCAGGCCTAGTCTCCCAGCCAGGAACGGATTCCAGGCTGCAGGGCAGTGCTGAGCCCCAGCCGCTAGACCCCCACGGGTTGGTGTCTCACGAAGCCGCAGCAGGAACTTCGCAGACGCTCAGGCAAGCAAGCGAGAAGAGGCAGTTTGTTTAGAAAAAGAAAAAGTTTATTGAGGAGAAAAAAAACAAAAATAAAGTGGGACTCCCAGGCCAGGGAACCAGGCCTGGGAGGGGCAAGGAAGCCAAAGTGGAATTGTGTTTCAGGGAATATATACCTTTTTTCCCTCATTATTCTAAAGCTCTACCAGTCTCTCTGTGATTGGTTAGTTCTCGGCTGTTTCACTTAATTTGTTACTGAGTGGGGATCTTCACATTCCTTATCTAACAGCTTTTTCTTTTCCCATTTGTTGCATCTTTAAATTTATGGCCCAGTCTTCTGGATGGGCATCCCTGCATTGAAGTTAAACAGTTGCCCTTCTAATGTGACCATAAATTAAACCACTCTCCATTTCTCCAATCTCCGCCTCCCTTTACCACCTGAAGGAAACCAGGACCAGCATTAACAATGTTGTCCTTGGTCCTGGCATGTTTGTTTTTCCTAATGGAATTGGTTATATTTCTTTGGTTGTCCTTATCTCTGAAGCCTCCCTAAATTCTTCAGAGGTCCCCTCCTGCACTGTCCCTAAAACTGCCTAATAACCCTAGCTTGCCCTGTCTCACTCTCAAAGGCCTGGACTCTGAACCTTTGTCTTGGACTCCAGATTGTCAAAAGGCTTTTGATGAAATAAAAGTAAAGTTGATTTCAGCACCAGCATTAGGGCTTCCGGATCTGAGGAAGCCATTCAGACTTTATGTACATGAGAGACAGGGGGTTGGCCTAGGAGTGCTGATCCAATTGTTGGGGCCAGAAATGCAGCCCGTTGCATATCTGTCCAAACAATTGGACCACACCACTAAGGGATGGCCTCCATGTTTGCGTGCTGTGGCTGCCACTTGTGACCTCCTACATGAGGCAGAGAAGTTTACACTGGGTCAGCCCATCACTGTGTGTGTGCTTGTAAATAAACCTTTTATTAACCTTTTGTGTGTGCCTGTAGTGGAGTATTCATAAGTCCCTTTTAAGCGCGCGGGTGAGGACCCACAGCCAGGCAACCTGTTTTATATCGGGGTTGCTCTATAACAATCTCACTACTTGC